TTAGTGAAATAAATAAGACATGCATGTGTAAACGTTGCATTGTTTCATTAGTGTGACAAGCTGAAAGAAAAAAACGTGTATGTGTGTATATGTATATAAAAATATAGTTAAGATAGTTAAAAGAACCATAGTGGCCTCCTTTATCTCCCACATGGCCTATTCAGAGGCAGATTCACTGCCTCCCTTCACTGAACACTGCTATAGGTTCTGCCTTCCCTTCTACTCTTTGTCTCAGTCTTTTTGTCCCAGAGAGAATGACTTCAGCCAAAAGCATCAACTCGGGTCATAGCTGCTTTCTCTTTAACTAAACCCACTGTGAGCCATTTTGAGTTAAGTTTTATGTCTTAAGAAATTTTGGATGTGCTATAAGGTTTGGGGTTTTTGCATGTGGATATCCAGTTGTTCCAGTATATTTATTGAGGGTACAATCCTTTCTCCACTTAATTGCCTTTGCAGCTTTGCCAGAAATCAGTTGTCTGTTATGTGGGTATCTACTTTGGAACTTCATATTGGTACCTTGGTGATTTGTCTGTCTTGATATCAATGTCATTTTGTCATGATTGGTGTAACTTTGTGATAAGTCATGGCACTGGGGAGGGTTGGAGCTCTAATTTTGTTCCTTTATCAAAGTTGTTTAGACCATTCTGAGTCTTTTGTATTCCTACAGAAATGTACGGATCAGAATGTTAATTTTTATCAAAAATGATGTTGGTGTTTTGAAAAGGATTGTGTTTTCTGATCTTTATTATTTTCTTCCGTTTTTGGTTTTATTCTGTCTTTTATTTCTAATTTCTTAAGGAAAGTTATGAGGCTATTTCATAACTTTTTTCTTTTCTAATAAAGGTACTTAGTGTTAAATAAAAAAATTTTTAAAACCTTATTCCAAACATAAGTATGTTGACAGTGAAATATTGGAAAATGCGTTTTACAAATATGAATCAATAAAAGCAAAAATTGCATGTTGATATCAGATAAACTGGTAGTCTCCAGACACACTGTGTAGCACATCTTTAAAAAAAACCTGTGAGTCAAAGAAGAAATCACAAGAGAGAATTGTTTTCGAAAAATTGAACCAAATGAAAATACATCCTACCAGCATAGGTGGGGCCCAGCCAAGTCAGTGGCAAAAGGTAAATCCATAGCTCTAAACACACATGGAAAAGGCTAAAGTCTAAAATAAGCAGTCTGAGTTTTTACTCCAGGAGCCTCAAAAACAAAAGAGAAAATGAAAATCAAAATAATCAGATGGAAGGAAATAATAAAGCGTAAGAATCAACCCGAAAGCAGACAACTACAGGAGGAAACAGCTAGAACAAATGGATGGTCCTTCAAAAAGGTTAACGCAGCTGAAGAATGTCCAGCAACACTGAAGAAGAGAAACGAGGGCATCACCAGCATTAGGAATCTGAAGGTGGCCAGAAGGTCATGTCCAACACATGTACACACGCGTATGTGCACACATATACACACATTTGGCAACCTCAATGAAGTGGACCAATTCTTTAAGAACAGAGCACCACAGCACATCTTGTATAAACTGAGTCATTAAATATCACTGTAACTGCTAAGAGAAAGTGAATTTGTAATTTTAGCACTATTGCAAAAAATCTCAGGCCCAGGTGGTTTCACTGGAGAGAACACACACTATTTATTTATCGTCCAAGAAACAGAAGAGGAGGAAAATCTCCCAATTACTTTTATGAAGCTTGTTTTACCCTGACAGCAAAACTTACCAAAGAGGACCGAAAAGATGCAAAAATTTTCATTAAATATTAACAGACAACACTAGCAATATAGACTGTTCTTAGGAGAAGGTGGGAATTTCGGTAATGATGCAAACACTCAGTAGCACTCACCCAGCTCGTGTGATGGCCTGGGTTTTGATACCCAGCAGTGCACACGCACACGGAAAAAGGCAGGAAGGTCAGTCAGTATAGTCTGCCATACTAACACACTTTTTAAAAAACAACCATATTGAGGTTAAGAAAGCACTTAACAAAATTAATTATTCATAATAAAACTTAGAAAACAAAAAGAAAAATATTCTTGGTTGAATAATGTGCACATTTGGCAAACCTATAGCTAGTATTATGTTTGGGAAAAGTCAGTGCTCTCAACTCTTTTATTTGACATCATGCCAAGAGACCAGCCAGTTTTATAAGGCCATAAGGAAATAAAACGCGTATTTGGGAAGGAAGAAGAAAAACTGCTTAAAGAAAATCTGCCGTGTGCCTGGCTGGGTTTTGACACAGGTGTGAAAAGCAAATCATGACAAGTCAGCATTTTTAAGAAACAGTGCTTAAGCATATGGGCAGTCAATGGCATACAAATTAACCTCAGCCTGCATCTCATACTCTACATAGGAAATCAGCTCAAACACTAGACTGACATGTAAAATATAAAGCATTTAGAAAAGAGGAAAATCTTTGAAATCTAGGACTATGTAAACATTCTTAGGCTTGTCTTAAAAGCATGATCCTCAAAAACAAAATTTGTAAGTCCAGCACATTGAAATGGGAAAATGTTGTTTTTATGGAAGACTAGTGAGAAGATTAAAATACAAACTACAATTTGGGAGAAAATATTTGTAGACCCCATATCTGTGAAAAGACTGTCTAAAATATATAAAGACAACATTAAAAGTAAACCGTTTGGTTAAAACATGAGTTAAAGAGAAACATTTTGTGGAAGAGACTAGATAGAGGTCAAGTATGCATGTGAAAATATATTCAACACCTTTACCTTTAAAGGAATGCAAAGTGAAATAGGAGATGTCATTGTATACCTTCTAGGGTGACTGAAATAAAAAATGATAGTGATAAATGATGGCAGCTATGAGGAGGAACTGGACCACTTGTGCCTTGCTGGTGGTAATGAGAATTGCGTGACCGTCTAAAAAACAAGTCCTAGAAAACTAAAAATAGAACTTGTGTTCCGTCCAGTAGTTGCACACATGATCACTTAACCCAGAGCAGCATGAACACTTACATTTACCTGTGCACAAATATTTATTGTAAATTTATTTTGAATAGTGAAAACCCAGAAATGCCTTTTGGTGGTTAACCCGACACATCATGTCATGGAACACTATTCAGTCATGAAAAGAATAGACCATCATTGACAAGCAAGTAGTCCTGTTCGGAATTATGTTGAGTGAAAAACACCAGTCCTAAAGGATTGCATGTGGTGGTTCTATTTCTGTGACATTGGTGAAGTAACAAAATTATGGAAAGGAAAGTAAGTCTGTGGGTACCAAGGTCTAGGAAGGGGCTTGGATGGAATGATGGGAAGGGAACCAGACATGTGATGATGAAGGGTGTTATGGCAGGTCTTTGGTGATGATGCAGTTGTTTCGTGTCTTCATTACATGGATGTCCGTGTCCTAGATGCTGTAGTATATACTCAGACAAGCTAGCACCATGGATGGCATCGAGGTAAAGGATGTGTAGCTTCACCCTGTATTATTCTTATAACAGCATGCAAATCGACACTTATGCAAAAGCAAATTCATTTTTTAAGCCCATATGCTGCATAATCTCCCCTCCCAGCAATGACCAGTGTCACTCCTGCATGACTGTATTGCAGTACAGACCGCAGGTTCTGGTGTGAGACTGTCAGGGTTTGATTTCCAGTTCCACTGTCTGTCAGCAAAGTGTCCTCTGGCACATACTCTCACCCCTCTGTCCTCAGTCTTCTCATCTGTCAGGTGAGGAGTCAAAAGTTTAATACCAGCAGTACCTCCCTCAGAGTAACATGTATGGAAAATACTTAGATGCTGGTAGTTGTGAGTGGTCCAAAAAGTGACAGTGGTGGCATTTACTGTATTATCTTCTAGTTCTCTTTTTTTAAAGAACCAATTGAGCTAAGAGATATGCATTTGCATATTTTGTCACTTATGCCGTAAATTTTTTCTTGAATAATTCAAGACATTAAACAATGGAAAATACCCGTACCTGTGTCTACAAACTTTGAAAAAGAATTGAAGTAACTGCCCAAACTTTTTTTCCTGGGACAGTGTTTCACTGTAGTTTAGGCTGGCCTTGCACTATGTAGCGCAGGCTGACCTCAAATTTGGTGCAATCTTCCTGCCTCAGCCTTTTGAGTGCTGGGATTGCGGGGCTGTGCTTCCAAGGCTGGCCCAAACTTTAATTTTTTTCTTAGTTTCTTGCTCTCAGTAGTTTGCAGCCCTGTCTGTGGGACTTGGCACACATTGCCTGGACCAGTTAGCTGAGTGTGGAGTCAGTGCTATGGCAGAGCAGTATCTTGTCTGGAGCTGCTGTGAAGCACAAAAGCCAACTGCTTCTGCCACCCAGCGACCTTTCTACCATGAATGAGGACATGGCTGCAGCCTTGGGGAGGTTTCTCTAGACTCCTCTATGTTGAAGGCTGAGTCACTGTTGGACTTTCCATACCGGACAAGTTCCGCTTTCCAGAAAGTGGCTGGGTGGCATATTTAGCTTCTCCTCGCTTTTCCTGAGCTCAGCTTCTATTCATGATGGATAATTGGGGTTGCTATTAGTGTGTCTAAAGTCTAATTTAGGATGCTGTGATGAATGGTGTAGATTAGTGGTTCAAGCCGCTCATGTGAACTGAGGTCATATCACACTGTTACAAGAATGCTCATGTAATATGAGTGAAATAGCAGCCTTCCTTATGAATTCTAGCACCCACAATTTAACTCAGAGACAAATTTTTAAAAAATTAAAATTTGCTCCTTGGTGAGCATGAAGACTAATGTAATGTGCCTCGGTGAGAGTAGACAGTGCAGGCAAAATGTAAGACATTTTTCAGCGTCAAGCTGGTGTTGCACTGTAAGTTCCCAGTGGTTCAGTGACTGTCTCAGGTAGGGAAAAACGCCTCCCCAGACTCTCTCCAGGAAGGTTCCCAATTCGTTCTCTCTTCTGGTGTGGATTTGCTGTTGGCTCAGGTGTATCTAAGATTCTTCTACATTAATTTTTTTCTTTGTAAACAAATGTCTTATTTTGGTTTCTGAATTGCAGCCACAACACAAAAACAACATCTTGGTTAGACCCTCGGTGCCTGAACAAACAGCAGAAGCCTCTGGAAGAGTGTGAAGATGACGGTAAGAGCCGGGAAGAGCTTGGGTGGAATGAGTCGGGCTTGTGCAGCTGCAGAGTTTAGGGTCAGCTGGCTTTTAGCAGTGAGTTTCTAAAAGGTTATCCAGTTCTAGGAAGTGCACGTGGTTTACAGTTTCAAGTAAAGGCAGGTACCAACCAGTCTCTCCTTTAGACGTAGAGTCGAGCTCAGTCAGAAGCTATTCAGATGTGTCCTCTGCATTCGGTCACTAGGAACAGTGCTGGATTTCTGAGCATCAGGAATCCGCTGCGATCCTGATCGTGCACACCTGCTGGACCATACCCCTCTGCTGTGAAAGTCTCCTGAAGACCTTAGGAGCTTTCTTGGCTTTTGCATCTTTGGGTGCTTTATCATTTCCTAGTTTGGGGAAGGGAAAGCAGATCTTGACATGCTTGGGAACCTCTGTAACTGGAATATCCCCATAGTATCTGAAGAGCACATTGTCCTAGAAAGAGGCTGATATGTTACCTGGTGCTCAGCTCCCTTTTTATTTTGGGAACAAAGTAATTAACTGTGAGTTTTTGTTGAAAAAGTTTATTTCAGAGCTTTGGGAGTTTTGAATTATTTGCCCAAAATGAAATTTTAAGAAATGGAGGCACCATGTCTGTTGCTTTTAGTAGCACACACAAGTCTACCCCATGTTCTGCCGAGGTTACTTTTTGTTGTGTTCTAACTCAAAGGAGAATGGTTTACGTTGCTGCTCGTTATTCAGTGCTGGCCTCTGAATTAATATATAATTATTTCATACACATTTTTCCTGTAAGACAGCAAAACTTTATTAATTCATCCTATAATGAAGAATTGTGTATACACATTTGAGTTTTGTCTGAGAATGGAAGCCAGTATTTCACAGTACATTGCTGTTGAAACTTTGTATTCCAAGATTATACCTGGAGTACTTATAGACATGATTAGTCTCCCATTGCACTCGGTTTGTGCGTGACATGAAAGGAACATACCTGTTTATCTGAGGGACTTCACAGAAATCCACGTCCTTCTGATTGGAAGGAGCACCAAGTGCCGTCTCATTTTGGTGACTTTGTCCCATTGCCAAAGGAGTTAAAGAGGTGAGCGGCTGTTCTTCACCTGTATTCTGATTATTCAGAGTCTGTTTAGTATAGAATACATAGTGACCAATTTTCAAAGAACAGAACATAAGACATACCCAGCTGTGAGACTTTATAGTTTAATCTTTATTTGATGACTTATGGTTTTGAAGGCAATCTAGCCACTCATCTTAGAGTCTTTATGTAATATCCAGTATAATTACACTGGCAGTGTATGAAAAAGCCTGCTAATACAAATTTGTAGACTAAAGAAGACTGAGAAGGCCTTCACTGAGAAAAACTGTTAGTGAAATACAAGTATTGAGGAGAGTTACCAACTGTTTTTATTGCCAAATCTTATAGTTTTGCATATGTGGGCTTCTTACCATTTAGGAAAATGCTGTTTCCCTTAGTGCAGGTAGGTTTTCATACCGAATGTAGTCATTTTAGTAATTATCCCTTCAACATTAGAATTCATATATTCTATTTCTAGTAGAAATTATGTGAATGTCTGTGTCTGTATACACAAACAGCACAGGTATATAATCAGATTATGACAAGTGTCAGTTTGCATCTTTTATTGCTGGTTACCACTAAGCTGTTATGTGTCATTGTTTATATCAAGACGCAAATTGAGACTACACTGTCAGTCACAAATACTGTATTTCTAACTCCTGTAGTTCAGGTATGCAAGGGATGTAACAGTACATCATACTCAATTATTATAAAGACTTTGTTTCCTATTTCAAAAAACGGGAAATGGGCTTTGGACTTTAATTTTAGTGTAGTCATTGCTCGTTGGTTGTTGCTGTGAGCCTGATTGTACTAAAAGCCTCCACCACTGCCTTTCAGCCGCAGCTAGTGTTTTAATCTGCCTGATGGAGAGCTCAGCAGGGAATCTAAGAGTTTAAACTCAATCTGATTGAAACAAAATTAATAATCTTCCCCAGAAAGCTGTCCTAAGTGTTTCCTATTGCAGATGAAAGTAGGTTTGCACACACTGGAGAGTCAGGGGTTGTAACTACACTCTCACTTCTGACCCAGGACCCTCTAGATTCACTTGGTCTTCTAGTCATTTCTAGAGCCCATCCCCTACTCTTGGCCACCTCTACCATTTCTGGGGTGAGTCATACATGGAATCTTGCTTCTGTCCTTCTTACACTTCGCTCAGTGCAGTTTGTACAAATGTATTCCTTTTCTCACTGCCTGCTCTGAGCCCTCGTTAACGGCTCTGCATTCCGCTCCGTGTGAGCTGTGGCCCTGCCTGGCATCTCCAAGCCCCAGGAGGCGGGAGTAGGGAAGCGCCATGTGAGATGGTTCCTGTGTGCTGGAGTTGTTTTCGTCTCAGTAATGATAAAATGTTTTACTGTTAGCAAGAGAAAGTCAAGAATAGAAAAAATTTGAACTGTTTCCTTTGCTAAAATCAATGAGAACATTTTCATTCTATTTCTGAATTGTTTGACTTAGAAATTATACACAAAAAATAGCAAATCAGGAAACCTTGCTTCCCAGTCCTCCTCCAGGGCAGCCTGCAAGCCTCCCCTCTTCCCCGTACATCACCATGACATACTCTTCTGTCTCTCTCCTTATGGGAAGACATGGAGCGCATTGTACAGGTCACTCTCTGAATTTGCCCTCACCCTCCATGTTTCAGGCTACTTGTAAGTTAAATTATGCTTTAATTGTGGTGTAATTGCCTCATTGATTAGAGGATTATTAAAGGATTAAAAGGACTAATAATGAAAGGTCTGACAGCCTTATTTGCTGCAAATAAGCTCTGTGGTAAGTGACTTGCCTCTTAACATCCAAACCGCAAAGGTATTTGTCATCTTTTACAACCAATCAGATCCTACTTTGACATGCAAGGAAATGAGCCATAGAATTATTTCTCCAACGTCAGCTCTTAGCATTTTATGCTTTGCCTTGAGGTCCAGAGTTTATTAGCTAAGCCAGTAAAATAAGCCACATGCAGGTAAGGACAAAATGAAGTGATATTTGCTGCTGTTTTTCTGAGAGGAGTTTCCTTCTTGGTGCTGGTGTCTGAATTTTTCTTTCTCTCTTTCCTGACTCATTCCTGCTGTTCCTTTGGAGAAGAAGGGGTCCACACCGAGGAGCTGGACAGTGAACTAGGTAAATCCTCTGGCAGCTGCTACTGCGTAATTCCCTGCATGCCTGAGTCCCCGTGCACTTTTTAATCCCTCATTTCCTTGCATGTGCACCTCTTAAGTTAGGATCTTCATTCCGGTTCACCTGTGAGCACGCAGTAGTAAAACCTGTGAGTTAGACTGCATATAGCACACAGAGTTGTAATACTTTTTGTCTGCAAAGAAGGTGTCAATAAATTGAGACTAGAATGCAGTTAACAAATTGTTCCTGCAAAATGAGGATTGGAGAACAATGAAATGGTGCTGACCATGTCTCTTGAATTTCCATGTAACCTGGCTCAGTGTCATTTTTCTCTTTCTTTAGCGTGGATAGTCATCTATATAATACCCCCCAAAAGAAAACAAACAAAAATCCATAGTAATGTAATGCTTATTGCAGGAGTAGTTGCCCTAAATTAATTCCCAATGATGAATTGAATACTTAAAATGTCTTATGATCATATTTTAAAGGCATGGTTCTCATGTTGTTGACCCTGTCCCTGGATTGCATGTCTTGGGAACATAAGCAATGCTTGTTGGGGGCATTCTCTCTGAAGCATATGCATAAGTCAGATCTCAACCATTCAAGCTATTGTAGTTTATCAGTAATTTTGCATTCGCAGATAACGCCAAAATATTTCTTTCTTTGATATTACAACATACTGAATTATATCTTCACTAAGTTAAATGTTTTGAACACTAAAATTAGTTTGTACAGTATCTGATGCAGTCACTGAAGAGTAAATGGGAAAACCCAAGGTTGAGCTCAATTTCAGATTGAAGCCTTGGCCATTTGAAAATTGACCATAGTTATATTTTCTATGTAAAAGATTGCTCTTAACATCAATATGAAAGGAACCAATCTAACATTATTGAATTCACTGGTATTTTTAAGGTTGTCTAAAGATCTAAAAATATACATGTAATTAATATAAATTAATCACTTTTCGGTTGCATGTTTTTTGTTGCACGAAGAAAATATCAATTACTTGGAATTATGATACAGAATTTAGCTCTGATTTTCTTAATGTTTGCTAAGAAGATAATGATTGATGACCCTGCCCCACAGTGGTTTGTAGCCATTAAAGATGTTTAGTAAGCTATCTTGTGGTCCATGCAGTGGGTGTGACTTGAGGATCACCTGTGTGATAGAAAAATTCAGAACTAATTTTGTAAAAGAAGTACAAAATTTTATAAAAGAAGTACAAAATGATAATAGATAAAGTAATGGAAAGAGGCTTTTCCATACACAAAGCAAGTGTCTTCATCATTTGTTGAACCAATTTGAGCCATTCTTGCTGAAATTGTATGTGAGTGACCGCTCTATGTGGCAGGTAGCCATGGAGATTAGCGTGTCCAGGAGCATCACTTTGTTTCTGTGACAGTTTGAATGCCAGAACTTCAGGAAAGAATTGTCTGTGTTTTCCTCCAGTGTAACTGTGATATGATTGGGAGTTTCCTGTGGTGCTGACTCTAAGAAGTGAACAGTAGTGCATTTATGGCCCTTTTCATGGCCATACCTGTAATTCAGGACAGGGCATGATCTGATGGTGGTGCTTCTCCAGGGCCGCATCAGTTTGCTTGGCTTCCCATTTACTGGCTCTGGAACCTTAGACCTTCTTTTTTCTTTCCTCTTTAAAGAAATGTAAACCGGGGCCAGGTGATTTAGCTCGGTGGTGTAAGCACCTGTCTGGCAAGCACAAGATTGTGAGTTCCATCCCTGGTACCAAAAATAAATACATAAATAAATAATTAAAAAAAACAAAAAATTAAATAGAACTGAAAGAGGCGCTGTTTTGAGGAAACTTCACCAGGATGTGTTTTAACATTTGACCCTGTGATCAGCACATTTTGATAATGACTTTACTATTATCTATTTCTAACCTGTTGGACTTACCCATGCTTACTAACACCACTGTGTCCCTTTAACGTAGGATCCATAAGAAACCCATTGTGCTTCTGGATTAACGGCTGTTTAAGCCCTTGCTCTGAGCCATGGCCTGCGTTCAGGAGTTTAAAGATCCCCACATTTAACTAACAGCTGATCTTCAAGGTGAACCCAGAGGAAGACGTTGCTCAGAGATGTGAGGGAAGCAGGCCATCACCACAGAGCAGCAAAGCTAAGAGGCTGCAGAGGCCCGTCCCTGACCTGACAGTACAACAGGCTCTCAGCTTGTCCACACAAGCCACGTGGTCTCATCTGCGCAGTGGTGGTGGTCAAACATGAGAGTGCCTGTCCAGGGGTCCTCAGAGTGTTTATTTTTAAAAAGTAAAATATAATCACTTTATGGGCTTAAATATTTTCTGCCATTTTCAGTTTTTTATAACCAAATGGCAAATTCTAGGACAAACAGCTTCCTTTTTTAAATCAGTGACCCATTTCTATTTTCAGCTGTAGGAGACTAATTCCTGTTATTAAGTTAATCACCACATTGGAAGTGAGAAATCTATCTTTTCCATTCAAAATGAGACTTAACTTGAAAAACTGGAAATTTTCTGGAGGTGGTTCATCTGTCTCAGAAGTATTTAAAATGTCCAGAAATGCCAGTTGACTGACCCCATTTCCAGCGCCCCAAGCATGAGGCACTGAGACACACAGGCTGGAAGCAGGAGTGGCTTTACCGCAGAGCGCTTGCTGTGTGGCTGTTTTCAGCTTTGCCACTGTGCTGGCGCTTCGTGTCCCTGATGTCTGACACACCCTCCAGGAAATAGGAGGCACCCAGTAACTGTTCAGAAAATTGTAATCAAGTGAATTGAGTGCTAATACTTTCTCCGTTTCGTCTAAAGATCATCTGGTCAAATATTTCAGGTAGCAGACTTTGGAAAGCGGACTGGCTTCTTACTTTCACCCGCTCTTTTCCCCCATACAAATGTGTGACTGTGCACCAATTTGCATTTGTAAAATTTTCAATTTCCCAATTCTTTGGAAATATTTTTCTAGTTCATTTTCATTTAAATGGTAATTTCCAGCATTGTAGTACAAAGCTATTTCTCAGGCATTTGATTTGCATTGGTCGGCAAGACTTGGTGTATTAAAATGCCAACTGGTACCAACATCTGCAATTTGGACCTGTCTTGCATTTTAGTAGCTCGTGTCTCCTGAATTCAAAGACTTCTTTTAAAACCCATTAAGTGTTTTGTTGTGTTTTTTTTAATTAGACAAAAGGAGGGAAAACCTTTGTTTACAAACAAGTAACATGTAAAGCACAAAGCATGAAATTAATATCTCTTGACAGTCATCCAAATCTGAACCAATCTTATTCAGCATAAACTTTGAGTGACTAACGTGTGTGTTTCTATGCACACACATGCCTCAGTGCCCATCTGGAACTGGTAGTGGTCTGCATGAGCCCTCTGCTCATGAAGCAGCCATCATACGAAAAGAGTAACCACATGATGCTTTGAATTAAAAAAAAAAATCTGCTTCAAAATAAGTGGTATTTCAAGTGTTTGTAGAATGCCAGCTCTTAATAGTTACTTCTAGAAATAACATTTCACTTTGGAATGTAGTATTGTATCAGCTTTCCTTACTGCATAGATCAGGGTGGCTTTAAAATCAAGGTCAGAAATTGTTTTTCTGTAAGGATTGTTTTAATGGCACAAAACACACCTACTTGTTTCCTTCATGATGTGAAACTGTCCAGGGCAATGGACCTCTCCCAGGATATTCTTATAGTAAAAGTCACTCTTACATAGTTAATAAAGTTCATTCGAGCCTTTGATATGAATCCTTACAAAGTACAGCCCAGCATTGCATGGCTCGGTTTTCACTGTAATAACACATGAAAAAGAATAGCTTGTCCCCTGTGGGCAGCGAGCTGTTTGCAGGGAGGAAGGACGCGGGTTACTCTTTCACAGGAGCAGTGAGGGAAAGAGGGACAGGCCCAAATATAGTAACCTAGTGATACATGTGTGCAGTTCAGAAACCTAGTTCTACATGGACATTTTATTTACACGGTAACATTTTATTTGGAACAATGAAGAAAGATGCAGACTTTATTTTCTTGCAAGGAAAGCAAAACACAGTTGTATTGAAAAATGAAAAGAAGCATTAACTTCCATTCATTTTCCTTGTATGAGAAGAATGCTTGGAAATAATAGAAAACAGTAAATATTCAAGGTGGGAACTAGGCATTCAAGGCAAATTTTAATTTTATTAAAATCTGATTTGATAATTAAGAATAAAAGTAGCTGGGATTACATTTATTAGGCTTTATTTTCTTAAATAAAATACCACTAGATAAAGAATCATTTCTCATGTAGAAAAAATATGCTGAAAAAATAAAAATAACGCATATTCCTTTTAGTTAGGTGAAATTAAGGTATTTTTATGAGTATGTCTCTTTCTGCCTAACTCAGTTGATAGCAGTCCCAGGCTCTCTAAGTATCTTCTCTACTTGCTCTAAATGCTCTTTTATTTTTCAGAACTGCCTGCTGGTTGGGAAAAGATCGAAGACCCTGTCTATGGTGTCTACTATGTAGAGTAAGTGCCTATTAATAACTCACACACTTGTTTCTGGCTCTTGGGAATTATGTACTTTTTTATATTAATAATTCTATAGGATGCATAAACTGTTTAGATTGTTATCACTAGGAACATGCATTTCTGTATTTTTTTTAAGAACAAAATATATTTATTGGGGAAAGAAAGCTGTGTGAGAGAGAGAGACAGAAGGAGTTCTGAGTGGACTGCCCTGGAATTATGTATATTTATGCGAAGCAGAACTTACCATTTCTATATGACAGAAGCTGAATAATAATGTATTAATTTTCAAATGAAAATATCTATGTATACTTTAATGAACAAGAACATATTCAGTGAATCCAAAGGTAAGTTCTGTTTGGTATTAACTCCCTTTCTGAGGACCTTACTCATGGCTCCTGTGTGGCTTACATTAATTATGAAGGCTAAACAGTCTTGCTGTATGGAGGACCATGAGAAGTGTTAGCTGAACAACTGTATGGGAAAGCCCAGGACACAGCAGAACAGCTGATTGGGGATTGTGTGTCTTCAGGAAGAAGACTTGCCTCAAAATATCATCTGGAAAAAAATGCCATGCAAATGTATGATCATAGTCCCTCCACCGTGATGGAAACAGCTGGCCGGCTTTCTCTCATGCTGCTGTGTGTGACCACATGATGCAAAAATTCCTGGCTATCAAAATGTCTTATTTTTAAAAATTATCAGTTCAAAATAACAAGAACCCTTTGCCAATACTGCTGTTGGCTCCTTTTTTACCTAACAAGAATTGCCAACTTAGGAGGCAAGTGGGGTTGTTTCTCTGACCCTCCTAAGATAAATTTCCTTTGTGGGCCCCCAAAACTCATTCAATCTCATATTTTCTCTCTCTCTCTCTCTCTCTCTCTCTCTCTCTCTCTCTCTCTCTCTCTGTCTGTCTTTTGAAACAGGGTCACACTCTTCAGTTCAGGCTGACCTTGAGCTCACTTTGTAGCCCAGGTTGGTCTTGAATTCACAGTGATCCTCCTGCCTCAATCTCCCAAGAGCTGGGATTACAGGCGTGCACCACCATACCAAGCTCAAAATCTTCTGTCTTACAGATGTATAGCAATGTTTCTTTTACTGGGGGTTCATTGTACATTGCCCTTCAACTAGCATTTAGTAAGAAAAGGATGGGTGGTTGTTACTTTGATGGGTGACAAAACTTTGTTTTCAAAGGTTAAGTTATATGCTTGTATGATACTTGTGTAGCATATGTGTGTTTATACACATACATATATGTATATATAATATATACACTACATAAGCTAAGACCAGTGTACTTGTGTGTGCATGTGTGTTTGCCATGGGTTTTTAGTTATATAGCCATCTAAAGTAGCAGTATTTGCAGTCTCTTTGGCTGAGGGCTATCCATCTCTCCCTGTAAGTTGATCAGATAGTCGATAGATATTGGAAGGGTCCTTTGTTTTCTTTTCATCTTACTGCTTTGGTGAATGCTCATGCTTCAGCAAAACCTACTTTAGGAAGTTACTAAGCACTTCTGCCATTGTATGTTATCAGCAACATCACATAGCCTCTTTAAATCTTATTTTTCAATAATGCCATACTCCTTGTTATATTTAAGCAACACATTTTCATATGATTCTTTTGACATTTGAGTAGTTAAGACTCTTAACTGTGCTTTTTGACACAGCCAAATTCTGGAATTTGAAAGCAAACAGACCTGAGTTTGCATGCCTATTTATTGTTTGCTGCATTCTAGCAAGATAAGTTACTAACTATAAAGAATTTTGCTTTTCCTTTCCATGAAATCAGTAGTGCCCCCTTACATGTGATTTTACTATGGTTTTAGTTTTGGTTCAGGTAAAGCATTCAAAGTCTTAAGTGAAAATTTCTAGAAATAAGTAATTCATAAATTTTAAGTTATGTGCCATTATGCATAGCAAGATGAAATCTCCTGCCAGCCCATGCCATCTAGCTTTGGAGAATGATCACCAGGCCTTATATATTTATACTGTATAATCACTCTTTAGTGTTCTTGGCTATCTGACTGGCTGCCATGGTATTGGCAGTACCCGTGTGCACATGACCCTCGTGTGACTTAATTATGGCCTCAAAGCTCAAGAGTAGTAGCAGTGCTGGCAGTTGGTATATGCTAATGACAAAGCATAATGTGCTTCCTGAAGAGTGAAAAATCTCAATAAAGAACAAGTCATAATCTGAGGTTGTTAAAGTCTATGGTAAATTACTGCTGTTATCCCTTCCTGTACATATTTATAAATTAAACTTTATCATAAATACATATAGATGGGGGCAAACATAGTATGTAGAGTTCACTATTATCTGTGTTTGTAGGCATCCATGGAGCCTGGGAAGGTATTCTTCATGAATAAGGGTATATTATTATTTGAATAAAATTGACTTGACTAAGAATAAAAGTTTTGAATAAGAGTAAGCGTATTGAAGATTTTCCCAAAAATGTGTGTACAAATGATTGCCCAATGCTTGGTGTATACAAGCAGACAGTAGTTTCATTTCCACTCTTAACTGTCAAGTCAGTGTCAGTCTACGTGTTTTGCTGTGTTTTAACCAAAGGACTTGGCTCTGTAGCCTTTTGCTGGTGGGATGTCTTGTTTCCGTGTTAAAAACAGATTGGCTTCTTCCCCAGCCACATCAACAGGAAGACACAGTATGAGAACCCAGTCCTTGAAGCCAAACGAAAAAAGCAGCTTGAGCAGCAGCAACAGCAGCAGCAGCAGCAGCAGCAGCCGCCACCACCAGAAGGTTGGTCTCTTCCCTGGAGACGTCTGAGCTGGGAACACCAGCCAGAGACTGGGCACTGACACCCCCGTGTGGTCAGAGCTGGTCTTGAAGATCCAGCATCCACCACACGAGGAGTTGCTGTCGTGGGCAGGAATAGGGAGCTTCTGCTGGAGTCTTCCCCACTGCCTCTGCTCTCTGCTCCCTCCAAACAGTCCGAGAGGGATCCCAATCCCAAGGTACCCACACCCCACTCTCCCATCGTGATGCAGAAAGGAGCATCTTTAGCGATCTTCCCAGGGGCAAAGGAACTCTTGTGCCTTGGCAGCATTTGCTGTGCTACACTTGAGCCCAAACTCCCTGTTTGCATTTTGACTTCAAGCAGAATTACTGGCCATGAAGCTAGCACTTAATTTTAAGAACCTTATATGTAATAATTTCAAGTGCTTTTTAAAAGTTAGTTAATTCATCTTCTTTGTAACAGTAAGAACATTTCAAGAGTATAGAACATTGAATTCTTTAATGCTCACATGCCTATTATTAGAGGTAAACATTAAACAGAAAATTTCAAGAGATATGCAAGTTGCACTTATGTATACACATTATATATAGTGTGCACATATGTGATTTACCTGCTCTTTTTTTCTCATACCAGCTTCAAAGTTAATGTACATTTACTTTATAATTTTAATAGCTGTATAACATCGTTTAATGAATATTTCAATCATTATTTAACCATCCATTCATTAATAGTTAATTTTTATAATAAAATTATTTTCTAAATTTTTTTATTGTGATTTTTCAAATAATAGATTTAATATTCCCTCAAAATAATATCCAAATATTAGTATATTAATATATGTGAATATGGAATAACTGTGCTCTTGCTTTAGTGCTAGGGATGAAACCCAGGCCACATTCATGGTGATTACATGCACTGCCACTGAATTGTACCCCAGCCCTTGATTATTACAAATATAGGCCTTAGATTGTAGATTGCTGAACTTTTGTGAAAATGGGAAATACTTTATTTTTGTGATACAGTCACTCTCACACCCATTCAGCTCTGCCATTGGAGTTTAGAGAGGTCTACAGGCGATCTATAAAAGAATAGGTATATGTCTATGGCACTAAAACTTTGAGGACACTGTAAGTTGTACTTCATATCATTTTCCCATGTTACAAATACTCTTTTCATTGTTTTCAGACATGTAAAAATGTAAAAGCAATTGCTATCTCATAGGCTGTGCACGAATAGGCACTGCACCAATTTGGCTGGTAGGCCATGATTGGCCAGCCACTGCCTGAGTGTGTGTATATTGGCCAGTGTGAAAGTTTTCTTTAATCTGTTTCTTTTTTTTATTTAAAAAGAACTCTTGAAATACGTTTTTCCCGAGGTGGCGAAGCTTGATGGTGTTGGAAAGTGTGGTATGGGAGTGGAGTGTGCAGCAGAACCTGGCAGCTGAGAGAAAGTCACTGCGGCCCATCTCAAGGCCTTGCTGCAGCACAGGGTATAGTTAGGAATTTTCCCCTTGGGCTTCAGGGACCTCAGAGCTGGCAACGCAGCAAACTGCTGATAGCCCCCTTCCTCCAGTTTACCACCTATGGCAAGCAAGTTCTGCAGACCAGACCTGCCCCGCTTTCCCTCAGGAAGGTTCTCTCTGAGAAGGCTGCCTCTAGGTGACTGTATCTTGCTGATGCTTTTTTATACAATCTCACTTTGAATTCTCCAGCCAGAGAGAATTAGAGTTTTACTGGTCATATTACAACATTTCTTGCTGTAAACATCTTAGACAGGAGAAGGAGATACGGATATCCTTCATATAAAGTAAGGTCAGATATCAGCTTCTTTCAACTTAAGCTATATGCCTACTGTACTGGTTTGGGCCAACGTGGAGCGTGTCGAAGTAGACCAGCTGTCTGGAGGAAAGACAAGGACTGTCTTCTTTCTTGCAGAGTGGACAGAAGAGCATTCATCCCTCGTGCCTCCTGTTATCCCAACCCACCCCCCAAGCAATCCGGAGCCAGCCAGAGAAGCTCCACTTCAGGGTAAGGTGTTCTTAACTGTTGTTCATGATGTTAGCTTGAAAACCTTTCAGAGGTAATTTAACCACTCAGAAGTTTACCACTCAGCAGAATTTACGTTCTGACCATCCTAAGCTTCGTTTGGGCAGGTGATCATTTCAGCCAGCCGATTCTTGTATTGAGTAAATTAGGTAAATGTATCATTTGTATAATCCCTGCAATATTATCATATAAAACTAATAAAAATACACAATTTTTGGTCACCCTATATTAACTGGACTGGCAAGAGGGTAAAAAGTTAACCGCTGTCAACCGCTATCTTTCCTTTGGTGTAAAAACCGTTAAGTGAAGGCAGTTTTAAATGTTTTGTTAATCAGACTTCAAGACAATTAGGATCTTTTCTGAGTAAAATTTTCAGTTATTGTGATAATTTAAAAATAATGATACTTGTTAAATAACCATTGGAACCAGAGCCGCTCAGCCTCAGCCCTGTTGACCTGTTGTCTGGGTAATTCTTGCTGGAGATCTGTCCTAAGCATTGCTGGAGTCTCAGCAGCAGCCATGTCTGCTACATGTCAGGAGCACGCTCTTGACCTCTCAGCTCCCACCTCGTGACACCCCAGAGTGTCCTCAGACACAGCCGAGTACCTGGGAGCAAAGCATTCCCAGGGCTGGCAGTGACTGATTTAGAGGCCACAAATGTGTAATTTTGGTTAAAGAAGACAGATTCAAATGGTAACATTAGAGTTTCAGAATTCTAGTCAGTGTATTTATCTTTGAGTAGTTTTTTTTTTTTTTTTTTTTTTTTTTTTTTTTTTTTTTCGTTTTTATCGGTACCAGGGATAGAACTCACGACTGCCTGCTTGCAAGGCAGGCGCTTACGCCGCTGAGCTAAATCCCCAGCCCCTTGAGTAGGTTTTTTATGCAAACATAAATATTTTGGTATTGTTGTATTTTAAGTTCTCCTGCCCTATGCTCGCTACTTTTATTGGTGTTTATGTGTGTTTTACGGTGTTTTCGTTGGTGTCACATTCACAAGTAGCTTGAGTCGCCTAGAGAGAATCTTTCCTGAATATTAGCAGTTCCCGGGCTCCCTACCATCAGGCCTCATTACTCTTCAGTGATCAAAAATGTTTCTGATTTTTTTTCCATTTAAATGAGAAAAACAGAACAAGCCTCATGTTTGGCAGAGCTAGAAAATATTGGTGACACTGAACCATTACCAATAGTCTAAAATCTGTCTTCCTTTCTATATTGTGCACAAGATCCAACTATTAGACATAAAAAGATATGTATAAGAATAGCCTTTTTATTCATTTAGATTCCTCCATTGTAATTTTTATAAGAACAGAATTGTCCCTCTGCTAGCCGGTATTGTAATTAGGTTAGTATTAATGTCAATTTATGTGAAGTGATTTTTTTCTGGCATAGGTATACTTTTTAATGGTGATAATTTTTAAAAAATAGAATGTAATATGTAATAGCACAGTAATTAATGTCAGCATAACTGTAACCACCTCAATATTTTTAAGTACAATTTTCTCCTTTGACTTGTGTCATCTTACCTTCCTTCTCTCATGGTCAGTTAAATACCAGCCTCTTTTCAGTTCCTTAAACCACCAAGCAAGATACATCTCCAGCCATGTGCATCAGCAGTGTCCAGTGTGTTTTTGCATTTTTACTCCAAGCTTTATCACCACCACCCACCCACCCCACTCATGTTAGGTCATTGATAGATTCCCCAGTTGTGTTCACTCCTAACCGTCCGTAGCAATCAACAGTTACAACTAGTGTTCACTGATGTTCTCTCGGTAGATCCCATGCAGGCATAAAACTATGGATTATTTCTTCTTTTCCTTTTTCTACTTTTTTTCATTCACTAGGATAACCCAAACCCAGGTATAATCCTGGATATGTTCTTTCTGCTGATATTACTGTGAATGAAATTGTGTGTGTGTGTGTATGTGTGTGTGTGTGTATGTGCACACTCGTACATCCACACATGATACTACTCAGTCCCCTTTTTAAAAAATCATCTTAAAGATTAAATAAGGATGAAAATTTCAGGCTCTGGATACCAAATAGTGCACCTACTAAGAATTCAAGTGATATTTATCTGTGAACTTCATTGCTAGCTTCACTGTTTATGATTCTGGGTTACTGCCTGGATCAGTTACTTGGAATCTTTTGTGTCTTGGATAGGACCCTGTATGGATGCCTTTGGTTACTACACATCACCATTTGAATCTAAATTCATTACAGGTTTGAAAAATCAGCTCTTCTGTCCTGGCCACATTTCAAGGACACATTGGCTAGGTAAACTGGTGGCCACCATATTGAACAGCGCAGACATGAAGCATTTCCATCTCTGCTGGAAGTGCAGTTGGATAGCTGTGGTCTAGAATGTCTCAGCACCAGATTCAAATGTAGCTTGGTGTGGCAGGGAAATAATCCCTAAGGACTGTCAAAATCCAGAAGCAAGTCCCTGATAAAGTTAGTCTAGAATAGCAACTAAAATGAGTATATTTTAAAAAGCTATCCCAGTAATTTTCATATACCACCAGGTCTTATAACTGCTGACTAGTCCAGAGAGATTCGATCTTAGAAATTGCACATGCCACAGAGCTGTGGCAGAAAGCTTCAAATTCCACTGCTTATGGGTAAGAAAAACTTTCTTCTCACAGCTGCCTTAACTAATGACCCCCTCATACATAAATTGTAATAGAATTGCATAAATGTGAAACCCCCTGACCTTCCCTCTCCAGTTAGGAACAGGAAAATTAAGTTAGTGGTATGAGTTCAAACCTCTGCTCATGTCTGTCTCAAGCTGACATTCTAAGTACAAAATATGCTGATGACTTTCAGAGAATCCAGATAACCTGCCCAGCACTCTTTCACATTTTCTAATATTGCCTGTCGTGTGAGTGCAAAGTCCTAACACCCAAACACTTCTTTTCAGCCATCTCTAAGACCTGTTGAATTATTTTTTAATGCTTTCATTTATTCATTTACTAAAAAAAATTGAAGCACATAAAATTAGCGGACACTGAATGTACAAATGTACAAACAAAAATACTCTCGAAGCTTGCCTTCTAGTGGTTTTTGCATGTGTATACACACAGTGCACCTCAGCCCAAGCCCAGGTCATTGTAAGACAGAAAGCCATGCCAATAAGTAAGATGTATACTGTGTTGGAAAGTAGTGAATGGTAAAGGCAGCAAGCAGGAAAGGGGACTGTGACCAGGGAAAGTCTTACTGAGCAGGTGACAGATACTGGTGATCTATCTAACTGAAATGTGTTTGAACTCCCTGAGCCTCCAGTACCCTCTGCTACAGAGGTATGGCCTTTGACCTCCTTCCCCATGGTGAACTTTACAGTCACCTCCCCTGTCCTCACTTGAATCTGACATTTGGTTTAGCCACTGTCTCCCTAGTTCCTTGTTGCAGGCAAGCCCCCTTTTTGTGCCTTGAGAGACCACTGCAAGTCTTGTCTTTCTTTACCCGCAGTGACAGTGCTGTCATTTGCCAGACCTCCAGCAAGCCCTGGGAATGCACTGTAGAGATTCTGACTACATGCATTTTAAAAGAATCTTCTAGAGAGCCTGAAACTTTTAAAATATGCAATTAAAAGTTGTATGCATGCCCAGAGACTTTTTAAAGGCCTTTTAGTTATAACTAACCAAAAATAACTTCTTCCTGGGTGCCAGTCTTACAGCGCAGGGTGTATGCGGGCTTCTCTTTCTCAGTTTTTTACAGGGAGACAGCATTTTTGATCAAACAGACAGAGAAGATGAAGAATCTGGCAAGGGTGAGGCAAGAGAGGAGAGATGAAAAGTCTACTCATGGAATTTTGTGTACAATTTAGAACAGAGACATTTCTGAGTTGTTCAGTTACACAGAAATACTTCATAAAACCCCCAATAAAACCTTTTTATTTATACCTACACTGTTGTAAATAAAAACTAAATCAATGGTTTTGTGTTTAGAAGTTATTTAGCTGTCTCTTACTTTATTTTAAATATGTCAGTTGAATTTGAAGCTGTGTGGCTCTGGTTCATAACTGTTTAGGTTTACTTCAGAGATTTTATTTTGGCTTGTGGATTTATTTTGCTTTGTTCTGTCTTTAAATATCCAAAGTCAGATATCCTAAGCTTTTTTTAAACAATGAACCTTAGTAGTGGTTGACTATTTCAGAAACAATTTTTAAAAAGGTGCAAATAAATAGGAAAGTTGACATTAGAATTCCCTTTACAATAACAACCTTTGATATTGAAATAGAGATTCTGTGCTTTTGTCAAATTATTCTTTGTGTTTCCTGGCATTGTCCGCACTTTCTGCCCGAGCTTTCTGTATGATTAAAAACTGACTTTTTTACTCAATTGGTCAAGCCCAAAGCAGCACACAGAACCCATACTGCAAAAGAAAAGAAAAAGAAAAAGAACGAATAAAGACCGACTCTGTTTTTTGTGGCAGCTCAATTGCTGTCAGATTATATAAACCGAAACCAGAGAAGTATGTTACCCAATGAGGCCAATTCTGTTCTTCCCTCGGGCTTCTTCTGGACCTTACAGTGGCATGCTGATGTGCCCACCACCTCAGCTAGACACCTCTGTGCCCAGAGGCCCCAGCCCTGTGAGCTCAGAGAGTTGCTACTGTGTGGTCTCAAGTCTCCTTTAATTCAGCTTTTCACTCAGGGTTCTGTTGTTTGTACTTGTTTTATTCAGGCAAACCCTTTTTTACACGAAACCCTTCTGAACTGAAAGGCAAGTTCATTCACACAAAGTTGCGGAAAAGCAGTCGGGGCTTTGGCTTCACAGTGGTTGGTGGGGACGAGCCCGATGAATTCCTCCAGATCAAGAGCTTGGTCCTCGATGGTCCTGCTGCACTGGACGGCAAGATGGAAACAGGTAGGGTCAGTGCACCCTCAGCATGTCTGTGCGGTAAGACCGCTCTCCACATCTGCACAAAATTGCATGACATAGGAATTCAGGAGTTTATAAATTCCCTTTTTATGCGTGGGGAGGAACCAGATCCAACCACTAGAGAAATTCAGCCTTTCTTACAGATTAAAACCTTTGAAGCAGTTTTAAATTTGGGAAATTGTTTGGGTACTATTGAATACAGTAGAGCAGTAATTTACTAAAACTACAGAATGAATTATAAACATGGATCTCGACAATGAAAATTTCTTTTTAGAAGAAAGCACCAGTGTTCTCACATTGATTATTCTTGTTAGCAGGGAAGACACTGGATCCTAAAAGAATACTTTCTTAGCAATTAAAATCAGCAATAGCAGTGGTCTCTGATGATATCACCCCCAAGTCCTGTTCAGCCTCATATTTGTCATAGACAGAGGCAATTTATACCTCTTGCTCCTTAGGGTTTTTAGCTAGGCCTAAGAATTATATCAGACATGGTGGCAGGAAAAAAGACATGGGACACTCATGTGGAAATAAAAGGCTAAAAATGCTTTAAGGTGGACACTTACAAAACTGAACCCAGGGCAGATTTAGGACAGAGTAGTTAACTAAATAGAGAAGAGAGTCGGAAGTTAAGGGCTGGCTTCACACAGTTACTGTGTGCAGATTTGTCTTGCATATGACTTCCTGTCCCTGACGGTGGCAGGTTTTGGCATGGGAAGGATAGCTGTCACGTGAAGCTTCATCTCGCTATTTTCTTTAGATCAAAATAATCCTTGTGCCACAGTGGTGTATTTTGGAGTGATACGTTGTGAACTTTCGGAGAATGTTACATATAGACACCACTTTTCAGGATACTGTGTGTCTTGACCTTCGAACTCTTACCTCTTACAGGAGACGTAATTGTCAGCGTAAATGACACCTGCGTTTTAGGACACACGCATGCCCAAGTTGTGAAAATCTTCCAGTCCATTCCCATCGGTGCCAGCGTAGACCTTGAGCTCTGCCGAGGTTACCCATTGCCTTTTGACCCAGATGACCCCAATACAAGTTTAGTGACCTCGGTAGCCATCTTGGACAAAGAACCAATTATTGTGAATGGACAAGAGACCTATGACTCACCTGCAAGCCACAGTAGTAAAACAGGCAAAGTCAGCAGCATGAAGGACGCCAGGCCCAGCAGCCCAGCTGACGCCACCTCAAACAGCTCCCATGGTTACCCCAACGACACGGTCTCTTTGGCTTCCTCGATAGCCACTCAGCCTGAGCTCATCACGGTTCACATAGTCAAAGGGCCTATGGGCTTCGGCTTCACCATCGCGGACAGTCCTGGCGGCGGCGGCCAGAGAGTGAAGCAGATCGTTGACAGCCCCCGGTGCCGAGGCCTGAAGGAGGGGGACCTCATCGTGGAAGTAAATAAGAAGAACGTGCAGGTGCTCACCCACAATCAGGTGGTAGACATGCTGATCGAGTGTCCGAAGGGCAGCGAGGTCACCCTGCTGGTGCAGCGAGGAGGTAGGCCATGCTGCCGCACTCTTGCTGTGTGGACCCCGGACCTGTGGTGTAGCTTGCTGTTCTAGGTGCTTGGTTTGTTAGGTTTCAATTTTTTTTTTTAGGTCTGTTCCTTTATAGTTGTCTTTATTTCAATCCTGGAAATAGTTTTAAATGTCTTTTGATTGCTCCAAATGCTAGTCTCTTGAAAACACAGCTCTGGTTTATACACTATCACACGTGTGCAGTTAGAGATGTTTTAAGGCGTAAATCTGATTATGTCTTTGAAAAACTAAGATTTATAAACTTTTATTCTTGCAGTCTCTTGTGCCCAGGCAACATAAGCTGCCAAACATGGTGTACACCTGCTCTTCCCCTCACCTTCTCCTCCTCTCATCCCTGCTCCCCTCTCCCTCTCCTCCCCCTCCCTCTCCTCCCCCCCACCCCTCCCCTCCCCCACCTCCCCCCACCTCTCCCCCCCTCGCCCCTCCTCCCCTCACGCTCTCCTCCCCCATCCCTCCCCCCCTCCCCCCTCCTCCCCTCACCCTCTCCTCCCCCACCCAATCCTCCCCTCACCCACTCTTCCCTGCACACTCTTCCTCCTTTTGTCACTGTGCTTTGGCCACTCCAGCTTTTTTAAAAAAAATCCCTGTCATAGTGCTTCAAACTTTTTCCCACCTCAGACCCCTCACACTTCCTGCTCACTTTGCCTGGAATATCCTTGGTTTTGACTTCCTTTCAGCAACTCAGCTGCATTGAGGTCTCTTCTTGAGAAAGGGTTTCTCTGATATTTCATCTAAATTGGCCCCGTGACCCTTCCATAAAATCCCCTGCACATCCTTGTTACGATACCATTTATCACAATCAGAATAGTATCACAGGGCATTATTCTACACGTGACTTTTATTTCTCTTTTCACTGTATCATAGCTCCATAAAACCAGGACTTACAGCTACAGACTGACCCCTGCTGTTGCCAGCATTTAAAATACCTGCCTCCTTTTAGGGTCCCTTGAATGAATGATTACACAGGTGACTATGAAGAAGTGGTAGGATGGTACCCCCACCAGTGGTACTGAAAGTTGCCACAGCTTTCAGGGTAATGCAGTGGAAGAGGACCTCTGAGAACCAGGCTGCTCTAAATCTTGAGACGTTAACATGTTCAGCTGTAATTCGGATGGCTCCTACTGGGTGGCTTGAACCACTGGGATCTGTACATAACTGTTCCATCAAGTGGTGTGGTATAGTCCCACCATGTGGTTCAGCCTCCCAGTGGGACCCCCCAGCATGGACCACCATGGTTCCAGGGGGCGGGAATGAGTAAAGCTTCCCTTCTCGTTTCTTCTGCCTGAATCTGCACACCTGCCCCACAGGCACCCCTAGGAGCTCGTTCTGAGAAGTGTTCTCCATAGCACTGAAGTGTCTTCCTCTGGGGTATGCAGCCTTGACTGATTGCAGCACACAGTGGGCCTGAGACTGGCTGTCCCCCACCTTTGCCAAAATGACCTCTTCCTTACATGGCACATTTGTGCCATTGGCACACGGATCAGGAACCAGACTTTTACTTCCTCTTGGTTGCATTGCAGTAAAGGAGTCCATTCACATCATGCAGCCACACGCCTGCTCCCTGGAAACTGCCTGTTGTAGGATCAAAATGACTGGGGCCGGGGGAGGGAAATCCAAAATAGAGAACAATGGTGATATGAATCAGATGCTCAGCCAACCTTGCTTGAGCCGTTATGAAAAGCATTGTGCAGATTTTGTTTTAAAAAACGTTCACTGCAACTTTGAAACCTCTTTATGTACCTAGACCACTTGGTTCCCTGACAGTTGGTTCATAGGCAGTGAGGAGATGTAGTAGGAATTAACTTGAGCGTAAAATTGATGCTGGCAGTGATAGTGATACTTTCCTGTCATGGACAGGCTGGTGATTTACATGGTGCCCTCCTCCCTGTACATACCTCTCATCAATTTTTATCCACAGCAGGGCTACGAAGCTTGCCCTGCTTCTCTGGTTTCCATTCAGAAATCTGCCTGCTGAACTCTGGACTGCAGTGACCTTGCTAGGTGTTGGCTTCTGCAGAAACTTCTAAATAGTCCTTGGCACAGCAGGCATGTTTCTGATCTACTGCTGCTCACCCGGTGGTCGCAGGTCACTGTACTCTGCCTGCACCTTCATTTCTGTTGCCTATATTATATGTTCAGGATTTTTGGTCCTGTTAGATTCGTTTTTTAAAATGTATGAATTTGCAGTATTGGGGAGTTCAACCTAGTGACTGTGTACCTCTGAGCTATATCCCCAGCCCTTTTTAATTTTTTTAGTTTTAAAATCTTACTAAGTGGTCCACTGTTAGGGTCTACACCTAGGATGCCCCCCCCCAAAGCCCCAGACACTCATAGGTGAGGCTTTGGGGAGGTGATTGGATCATGGGGGCCTGACCCACTGAGGAGACTAATCCACTGAGGAGTGTGGTGCTGGGAGGTGAAGCCTATTTGGGGGAGATGCACATCACCATGGGTGTGGCAGCGGGGGGGGGGGGATCTCTCCTCCCTCTGCCATGCGTGCTGCCTTGGGAGCCAGCTGGCCAAGGACTGAGACCTTTATCAATTGGGGCCAAAATACAAGTTTCCTCCATAAGTTGTGGTGTCAGCACCAAGAAAGTAACAGAAGCACCCTTGCCATCTTCCTACTGCTGCCTCCTGAGTATCTGGGATTACAGGCATGGGCCATAGTACCCAGCTTAGAGTCATTTTTAAGAGGACTAAAGATTCTCCTTACAGTTTTACAAACTGAAACTTACTGGAATCTCACTGTAATGTTTGCCTAAAGTACCAAACAAGTTATTATACCCCTTGATTTTTACTTACATACTTTCTCTTCTTAATTTCTGAGACCTCGTTTCCATTTCCGTTAATGCTATTACTCTTAACAGTATTCATATGGCAATATTCAGCATATATTGCCTCATTAGTCAACATCTACATGGCTTATTCCAGAGTCTGAGTAATTTAAAGTCACTGTAACATCAGCAGTCTTTAAAACATGCCGTATGTCTCGTGTTTGATTTATGGATGGGGTGGAAAGTTGGTACATCTGCAGTTGGCAGGCTGGCACTAGTTACTATTAATCTTGCAAAAAAGCATATAAATATATTTGTTTCTGTCATGCATTAGTTATCTGAATCAAGGCTGACATTTAATCAGGCCTCCTGTATGGTGGGGGGAAGCCGAGGGGGTCTGATAAAGAGCAAGACAGCCATGCAGTAAAATGAGAAGGTAAATGACCGCTTCACTGATTTCTCTAATGAATTCCGTTTCTGCCGTGACTGGTGGTAAGCAGATTGATAAACTCATTAGACTCATGCCGCTTGAGTCTCAGGAGTTCATATTATGAGGACGAGGTGTTCTGCGCTTTATAAAACAGGTCTTTTCTACTTTGGGGCAGTACTGACTGTGTTTGTAGCATCTGTTTTACTTCTTAATGCCTGAGCTCATTTTTTGCGTTTGTTCTTAACCAAGATCTGGCCCGTTATCTTTTGGGGATTTTCAGTCCATCCCTCCTATTTCCCCCAACGTGGGAGTCAAACAGTACCCGGAGTGTCTTCTGTGAGCTTTGGGGTTGGACGGTTTCCTGGTTGAGCATCGAATCTCTGGGGTTGTTATGTACACACCTGGGGGGCTGAGATGTCAGACTGGCTCCTAGACCTGTGTGACCCACCTTGCTGCCACGAACCCGGCCTCAGGTCTGCGCAGGGCAGCCTCCTTTCCTCCTTCCTCTCCTTTAGGAGAGTACTTTCCACTTTCCATAACAAAACATTTGCCTTAAATCTTTGGTGGCACCAGAGTCAGCCTAGAGGCTTCTTTGAGGTGTGGGAAAGATTACACTAGATGATGACTGTTTAACAGAGCTTTTTTAAAAATTTATTTACTAAACATGGATTTTTTGTAACAGCCCTTCACTCTTTAGAAAGAGATTATGTATAGGGAGTTTAGCTATACTCAACTGACTCACAAACTCTCTTCCTAAGCTGCTGACTACCCATTAGCTCCTGCCCTGACATTAATTTCTCTATTTAAAAAATTGGATGTTCTGAACTAGAAAATCTTTCAGGCAGCCCGTTCTGGCTTTTTATGCAGAGAACTGTTGGGTAGAAGAAAAACCACAAGATTCTGGAGCCAAAAGATGAAAGTTTGGATCACATCTGAATGAAAAGTTTACTGGCTATGTGCCTCGAGGCAAGTCATTTACTTCATCTGAGCTTAGTTTAACATCTGAAAAATATGAAGGAGACATGTCTCGTATGTGCCTGGTGCAGATTAAATAAGGTAGCATTTGTGCTACTCCCTGGCATAGAAATAATTGTCATGCCATAAATCAGTGGGTTTTTGCTGATACTGCTAATATCACAAGCATGTGGCTGGAGGTGGCATTTTACTTTACAAAAGAAGCACAGCACAAGCCCTCATCAGAACCTGCAGAGTCACAGTCTCAGTGTGTGGTGCTTGGGCATCTATATCTTCACGTAAGAAGCTCCATGGCTGATTCTGAGGTGCAGCCGGAGTTGCAAATAGTGTTAGGATCCTGATCTCATAGTTCCTTCTGGTTTTGATTTCACGAAGTACATCTTGGGGGAAAGCAAAACAATTTCATTTCTGAGTAATTTTTTTGTTGTTGTTAGCTAGGTGCAGTGATGCACATCTCTAATCACAGCTGCTTGGGAAGTTCGTACAAGAAGATAAGTTTGAGACCAACTTGGGCACTTAGTGAGAGCCTAGATGTACCTGAGTGTTAGAGTGCCCCTGGGTTCAATCCTTGGTACAGGAAAAGGGTGGTCTATTGCTTTCTCTTTTTATTTCTTGGTGCTGCAGGTTGAATCCAGGGCCTCATACATAACCTACCAAGCACCTACACTGTCACTGAGCCTTAAAGATTTCTTTGTCAGGTTCTATTTTTTATTAGACATGTTGCAGACGCGTAATGATTGCCTTCCTCTTGAGGAGTTGGTACATGTGCAAAACACATCT